CACAGGCCCAGCCGCTACGTGGCATGTGGGATCCTACCGGACCGGGGCACGAACCCACGCCCCCCGCATCGGCGGGCAGACTCTCAACCACTGCACCACCAGGGAAGCCCTGACTGTAGACTTTTTAGGAAAGTATTTAAAATTATTTTTGTATAAGTATTTTAATAGCAGTTTTATTGAGATATAATTCATATACCATAAACTTAAAATTATTTACTTTAACAAAAATTAAAATCATCTGTAATCTTAACAGATAACACATTAATGTTTTGGTATACATCCTTCTAATCTTTTTTCCTAAACAGGTTTTTCTTGGGTGTAAGTACCTGACTTGAAGCAGCAAAATGATAGTACAAATTATAACAACATTTCACTGATTAAGAAGAATATATGTTAGGGCTTCCCTGGTGGTGCAGTGATTGAGAGTCCGCCTGCCGATGCAGGGGACACGGGTTCGTGCCCCGGTCCGGGAAGATCCCACATGCCACAGAGCGGCTGGGCCCGGGAGCCGTGGCCGCTGAGCCTGCGCGTCCGGAGCCTGTGCTCCGCAACGGGAGAGGCCACAAAAAAAAAAAAAAAAAAAAAAAAAAAAAAGAATATATGTTAAAGTACACTCAAAACAAATGTTACATGGAAAATATCTCAAATTTCTAGCAGTAGTTATCTTGGGGAAGGTGGGAGAAAGCTAGGTTTGCTGAGGAGTGGAGGCAAAGCATATTTTAGTTTTACCTCTAATGTAATTTTTTAAAAAGAAGGATAGATTCTAGGTATTAACTACGCGTTAAAAAAAAGAGAAAAAAATCCAAACATTAAAAAAAGAGTTGCCACATGTATAAAATAAGTTTTGAAGGGGGTGGTCATGATAAACGAAAAAGAATTAACGTGTCTGGTCTCGGCAGGAAAAATGATTTCCGGAGCCTTGCCCTGCTAACCTGGCCTCACCCTCACTCCTTCTACCATCAGTTCCTGACTCCTTAGTTCCAAAGCCATTAAAACTGCATCACATGATTGAGAAATGCTGGCGTCATCTCAGTCCTCTGAAATTCAGGTAGCTAAACTGTTTTTTTAATTTTTAATTTTCCTCCAGAAATACGTTCCTGATTATCAACTTTCAGTGATTCTTAAAGGGAGAACTGATTAGCGTCAAACAACTGAACAAACATACATATATTAAACACTTACATATTTTAAAAATGTTCAGTTCAGTTTCCAAATGTTCCACTTGGAGTTATAGCAACAGCACTCCATAGTTAAGCTGCATAATTATGTTTTCATGTTTAAACCACGTGCAAGCCACCTGGGATTTGGTAGCTAAGTCGTCTTTTCTCGTTGCGATGGCATCAGGAACATGAGATGATGGGGGCTCCAGGTCACCCACTGTGCAAACATGCGGCAGCTGTTCATATTGCAGGCATGTGGCAAAGTCTGCAATATGTCACCGCACATGATTTTTCTCTATACTAGGCCTATACCTAATTGGGATGAGGTTGGCATTTCTGAAGCCAGCATCCTACATGTAAAGCAGCTGGAAATAAGAAAGAGACATATGTCCCTAGGCTGAGGCATAGATAACTCAAGTAATGAGAAAAGCTAGGAATGGAATGACCTGTTGTAGCAGTTCACTGTTCGGTTGGCTCCATTTGACAAGTCTTCAAAGCTCTCCTTCGGGAGTTGCCCTGAGCCACATACACGTTGCTCTTTTCTACTGTGTGACAGTATGGCAGGAAGCAGTATATATGCCTGTAAGCTGCCTAGGTAGGCAGTAGTACATATTATTTTATCATATAGCTACATGGAGCTCTTTCCATGAAAAGTGTTTTTTACACAAACTGTTTACTGTTTCAGTAAGATACATATAAGTTTTTTTTTAAGTGCTCCATTTAAAAAAAAAATCTACAATTATCATATCCAAAAATGCTCTGAAGACAAAGTTTCTTCCTAAATTCTGTGACAAAAACTGATCTGACCTGATCTGAGGCTCTCATAGTCTTTAGTTAACACACTTATTGGTGGTATTCATATACTCACCACAGAAATATTAGTGTATTTGATAATGGGTGCCATCCTAGACTCTTTTGGGATTTTCTTGTTTGTTTGTTTTAAAGCAGATGTTGGGGGTAGGAGTTTATTAATTAATTAATTTATTTTTGGCTGTGTTGGGTCTTTGTTTCTGTGCGAGGGCTTTCTCTAGTTGTGGCAAGTGGGGGCCACTCTTCATAGCGGTGCGCGGACCTCTCACTATCGCGGCCTCTCTTGTTGCGGAGCACAGGCTCCAGATGCGCAGGGTCAGTAGTTTTGGCTCATGGGCCTAGTTGCTCTGCGGTATGTGAGATCCTCCCAGACCAGGGCTCGAACCCGTGTCCCCTGCATTAGCAGGCAGATTCTCAACCACTGCGCCACCAGGGAAGCCCTCTTTTGGGATTTTTAAGTAAAATATTTTATAGGTACCCTAACACTTTTCTAAAATCTGAAAAATTTTGATTCCAAAACACAACTAGCCCTAGGTTTTCAAACAAAGGATTGTGGAGCAGTATGTCCCCAAAGGGTTACTGATGTGGTGATTCTACCAAACCCCAAATGGCTCCAATGAGTATTTTTGCCCCAAAGTATGTCATGAGGATGAATCTCCAGGAAAAGAGAAAAGAGGCATGTTAGAACAGCTGTAGGAGTAAAGAGGCTGCACAAAAAACTGCCACAGGAATGATCGTAAGTGATGTAGCTGTAAGACTGTATAATTACCAGAAGCTATCCATCCATAAAGACAGCACACAGCACTGCTGCTAATAGTTGTCTGCATAAAAATGAAAATTCCCACTCTTTTGAGACTTTTAGGTATAGGATATTCTTTTCTTTTTTATCTTTTTTTATTGACATACAACATTAGTTTCAGGTGTACAACACAATGATTTGACATTTGTGTACGGATATTCTTATTTAGTAGTTCTCAACCTGTTTAAACATTAGACTATCCCAGGGAGGGAGCTTTCTAAAAATGACCCATGCATGGGTCTCACTTTCAGACATTTTGATTTACTTGGTCTAGAAAGGAGCCTTGACAACAGCGTTTTTAAAAACTCCCTACATGACTCTAATGGGCAGCCAGAGCTTTAAAATGTCCCAGTACCCAGGCTGTACCCCAGACCAGACACAATCTTTGGGTGAAGCCCAGACACAAGTATTTTTTTTAAAGATGCTCAGGTGATGCCAATGCATACACAAAGCAGATGGGTTGCATCCCACTGAGTTTCTTGGCTTAAGGCTTAAGTGTGTCAACTGTTTTTTAAAAAATTCTTCCTGGGGCTTCCCTGGTGGCGTGGTGGTTGGGAGTCCGCCTGCCGGTGCAGGGGACACAGGTTTGTGCCCTGGTCCGGGAGGATCCCGCGTGCCGCGGAGCGGCTGTGCCCGTGAGCCATGGCTGCTGAGCCTGTGCGTCCGGAGCCTGTGCTCCGCAATGGGAGAGGCCACAACAGTGAGAGGCCCGCAAACGTGAGCCATGGCTGCTGAGCCTGGTGCGTCCGGGCCTGTGCTCCGCAATGGGAGAGGCCACAACAGTGAGAGGCCCGCAAAACGCAAGAAAAAAAAAAAAAAGAAAAAAGAATTCTCCCTGAACCAAGTCATTTCTAGATAATCACTGTAGCAGGGTCACCAACAAAGAAAATAAAGCTTTCTCCATTCTGACAGTGGCTTATTCATGCAATCTCTCCTCAATTTTTTTACGAATGCAAAAGGAGAAGGGGAAGAAAGGTATGGAAATCACATGAGAAATATTTCAAAATACTTTAGCACAATAATCCATACTATGTTAAACCCCTTTAGTACGTACATCAAAATGAAGAACAAAACTGAAAAGTAGAATTCACTTTGGCTGAGGCTATATGTAAAGGAGAGCACAACTTAGAAGGTACATAATAGGAAATCACAGCATTTTCCAGTGAATTCTAGGACAGCAAATGAAATAATAATTGCAATAATTTTCCAGTGACTCTTTAACTGGTCAAGATGCCAAGGTAAATCAGATTCCTAGACAAATTTCAAAGAAAGCTAGAAAATACATTAAAAATATTAAATTCAAGATAATTTCTGCTCAGAGACAAACTAAAACATATAGTAAGGTGCATATTTTTTAGACATATCTCTTTTCCTTTACCTAAAAATAAATTTTTTTCATGCATTCTAATGGTCACATGAAAAAGACATTTACTTTTTTTCATCACTAACCCTGAGGAAGGAAGAACAAACGTGGAGTAGACCTCGCAGCTCACCAGGAACCAAACTCCACACTTTTATTTTTTTTTGCGGTACGCAGGCCCCTCACTGTTGTGGCCTCTCCCGTTGCAGAGCACAGGCTCCGGACACGCAGGCTCAGTGGCCATGACTCACGGGCCCAGCCGCCCCATGGCATGTGGGATCCTCCCGGACTGGGGAACGAACCCGCGTCCCCTGCATCAGCAGGTGGACTCCCAACCACTGCGCCACCAGGGAAGCCCAAACTCCACACTTTTTACAATAATAAATGGCAAGTAATGGGAGAAGTCCAGGATGCTACACTTATTCAGGCTTCCACACACATTGGTTTAAATACTTAAAACAGATACATTTGGATAACTGGCATGGTGACATTTCTCTGGCACAACTGAGCCATTTAAAAATTTTATCACTTTTAGTCCCTTTACTGATTTAAACAAACAAAACAAAATTTATATCTACCATGCAGGAACTTTCAGTTCAATATATAGGGACATTATAGTTTCATTGCTCAAGTTCCATTCAACAGAAGAAAAATATGCATAAATTCTATGAGCCTTGTCTTTCACCAAAAAGATATTAGTTGTTACAACGGAGTTCAGAGAGAGGAAAAACGTGGAGTTCCATTGTAATGGAATAGAGGAGAAGCTCGCATTTCTGCTTTGTCATTACAATTACTCTTCTTGGGATGAAACTTGGAATTGCAAATTTAGCTGAATTTACCGAAGTTTTAACTTTAGTAAATGAAATAAAATTCACTGTCTGGGCCAAAAACCCCAAGCAGCTGCTGTTGGGAGCAAGAGGGCGACAAGGACAGAAGAAAACAGATTCACGGCATTGTTATCAAGAATGGGTTTCCCTGCTATGTACTTCACCTCATTCGTTGGGCTGCTGACCACCATGCCAGTGCTTTCATCCAAACCTGCAATGAAAAAGAAGCAAGTGAGGTGGAAAATCCAAATGACTTGAAAAAAAAAAATTAGCTTTCTCCTCCAAAGGAGATAATCTTTCAAAGATTCTCAGCTATTCGTAAAATGGCTTTAGAGGATAATGTATATGGTGAGTGATACGGAACCCAAGATTACAAAAGGTCTCTTTGAATAAATGGGTTTCAACACACCTCAATGCTGCTCTCTCAACAATGCTGGAGTTCTTTCCAAAGTAGAAGGGAGAAACTGAAAAGCAGAGATGGCATGAAACTGGCAGACAGGGCTTGCCTTCCCAGTGGCTCCCCCTCTAAGACCAACCTGTGACACTCCTGAGAATAGGAGCCTCTACAATGGATACCCAAGAGTAGCAAGGTGATTACACAAAGAAGGCACACAAAGATGAATCTAATCTGCTCCCCAGCCCACATTTTTTTCCCCAACCCACTCAATATGATCAGAAACTTCCCAGTTAGAGCCCAGTTTAGAATAAAACCTAGGCTCTTTACAAAAACGTGTAATGGGTACGTGTGTGTGTGTGTGTGTGTGTGTGTGTACGTGCGTGTGCATATATGATTACTAACTCTTTAGTATAAATTAAAATCAGATTGCTTCCTCCTCAGCATCTAGATAAGACTAATGAACCTGAGAGAACAAATGTTCTGATGGTGGAAAGGGGAGTGGAAGGACAAGTCGATTATCTTGGGACATGAAGAGAATTGGGAGCACTGTATTCAGGGAACCAGTCTCCAGATGTCCAGCCCCTTCACTGGATGAATCAAAGGAGAAAACGTGGTTGGTTAGAAGGTGGAGCAAATACACACCTAACAGAACATGTCAGTACACTGACATGACAGGAGAGCCTTAGATGAAAGGACAGAAAATTCTGGAGAAAACTGACTCTCCCATATATCTTGAGTGGGACTAAAAACTCAGTGGGGAGGATAGCAAACATGATGTCACAGTAGAAAAGTGCATCATGTGTGTATAGTCAGATTATTAGAATAATTATTTCTCAAATGGACTTGGAAAATAAATGGAAGGAGGGGCATTATAATGATCTGACTCCAAAATTCTGCGTCCGTGGGATTAGGTAAAGTCCCATAAGCAAAAGCATCTGTCTCCTGCACTATCCTATCTTCCCTGCATAGCTTCTACTCATTGCTCTGTAGGAGTAATTCTCTTTCAATCAATTTGACACAAAAGAATGAGAAATTCAAAATGGTAGAGGAGACTTTGCTCTTTCATTCTGGGTCCCCCAACAACCTGTGTCTTGGCAATTGTTTTTATTATCACATCTCTTTTTTTTCCTTTTCCATATTTCTTCCCCATTTCTTTCTTTTTTTAAAGATTTATTTATTTATTTATTTTTGGCTGCGTAGGGACTTAATTGCAGTATGCGGGCTCTTCGTTGTGGTGCGCAGGCTTCTCTCTAGCTGTAGCATGCGGGTTTTCTCTTCTCTAGTTGCGGCGTGCAGGCTCCAGGGCACTAGGGCTCTGTAGTTTGTGGCACGCGGGCTCTCAAGTTAACGCGTGTGAGCTCAGCAGTCATGGCATGTGGGCTTAGTTGCCCCGTGGCATGTGGGATCTTATTTCCCTGACCAGGGATTGAACCTGCATCCCCTGCACTGTAAGGCGGATTCTTTACCACTGGACCACCAGGGAAGTCCCCCCATTTTTTTTAAGGACACATTTTTTCAATGTCATGATCAGACTACTGCATTTAACAGTAAACAGCATGGGTGAAAAAAACAACTCTACATTAAAAATCCTTGTAATGCTCTACACTTTCCACAGAAAAGAAACTAAAATAACTTGTTATACAATTAGTCAAAAATACAGTCCTCGAATTTTTTGCCCATAAACATGAGTGTTGTCTAAAACATATCTTCTTTGTAGCAGCTAGGCCCTGCCACCAGTGTGCATGGCTGAGTTCCCATTTCTTTAATACACCAATAAGTTACAACAATAAGGTAATGTTCTTACCACTAAATTGCATGGTAGCTCCTAAATACGAATCCACAATTGATCCTAGTAATCCAGCCAGACCCCCAAATGCAATAATTGGCCACTGAGGAGCAGAAATGTCTAAATCATTAACAAAAACCAACTGCGAGAGGAAGTATGCAATGCCCACAAAGGTCCCACCAAGAAGACTGGAGGCAAGGCCCACCATCGTAACTCCTCCGTTCGTCCCTAAAGAAAAACATGGATAAAATCATCTGGTTAACAATCAGCAAACACATAAAGTCAAAAAAAGCAAAATATTTTGGTACCTATCTAATCAAGACTAATTTAAAGAAAGGGTTCACTTTGATGTAATCCAAAGACCATCCTACTTAGAAAACAGGCTTTTCTCCTCAGTAACTCCTGACATTCTAAGCAGTGATGTGGAATAGTTTAGTAGAGCTAGACTGCCTGGTTTCAATCTTAGTCCTGTCATTTCCAAGTCTGGTTACTGTGGTGAAGTAACTAAGTTACTTAACTAAGTTACCTAACTTCTCTATGCCTTAGTTTACTCATTTGTAAGATGTAAACAATAAAATGACCAATTCACATGGTTATTAAGAGTAAACAGTAATCCATGGAGAGCAGTTAGAACACTGCTTTGCACATAGTAGGTACTCAGATATGTTAACTGTTATTATGATGATGATGAAGGGGAAAAGAAGGAAAATGAGAGGAAGGAGGAGGAGACAATGATAAAATACTAGTAGCAGTACTAGTAGTAGTAGTTGATAATGATAATGGGGAAATGAGATATACAATGAAGCACTAACCACATAACAGGCTCCCAAGAAATACTGTATCATTTCCTTCCTTTTCCTTTCCCATTGTTAAGCCTGTGGGCCAATCTCTATGTTTCTATATTATTTATCTAGGAATTACTAACACTTCCTGCAAATATTATTTATTATCACCGATTTAATATCCTATAGCGATTTTCCAATTAAGGAGACAAACTGAAATTCTTAAAAGGCTTTTAAATAAGAAACACAGTAAATCAAGAGGCTTTTTGTTCTTTTTTTTTTTAAACATCTTTATTGGGGTATAATTGCTTTACAATGGTGTGTCAGTTTCTGCTTTATAACAAAGTGAATCAGTTATACATATACATATGTTCCCATATATCTTCCCTCTTGAGTCTCCTCATTTTTGTTTTTTAAAGAAACTTAAATAAAGACTCACCTACTGGAACTTTCTCCCAGGTTGTTATCAGCCTCGGTGGGCTTTTACTCAGAACAGTGCCAACTTCTGAAGCCCATGTGTCTCCAGCAGAGCAGGCCAGTGCAGCCAAGAGAGACAAACACATCCAAGAAGCAGTGTGCTGCTTGGAAAAATCTATTGGGATTTCCCCAGGGCCATTTTCTATCATGTATAGCAGGGCCAGCTCTGTGGGCACAGCTCCATTACAGAATACCTGAATCCAATTCCTCTGCCCACCTAGGAACAAACAAGGGAATGAAAAGGACAAAAAATGTTTTCTCCTCAGGAGGAAAATCATGCATTTATAGGAACTTACATTTCAAAACTTAAAAGAAAAATGACTAAAATTTCAAAAATGACTAAAAGTGGGATGGTAACTTTGCCCACATTCTATATTGTTTTAGAATAATGAATGATAGACTTCAGAATTTCTAAAATTCTGCTGTTATTTGCTATTGTGGTAAAGTAATAATAAACTATATCAGGCTACTACTAAAGTAATTCTCATAAAATTTATGTTTCAATAGCCTAAACATGTTCTGATTAAAAGCTTATGATATGTTAAGATGAAATAAAGGTTCCTATCTTAAGTAACATTAAACATAATTCATTCTACCTTCCTTGTATTCTGAATCTAGACGTTTCTTTGTTTCTCCCCTCCATTTAGTGAGTCTTGAGGAAGAAAGAAAAAACATCAGCAAAGAGGTGAAAAAGCTGAAATTTGCAACGGTTAGGATAAATCCAACCACGAGCCCTGAAAGAAACACATATATACACAAAATTACACTTAGTCCATACATTAATGCTGTGAAAAAAAGAATGACTTTTTTTCAGCTATTTTCATATTATAACTGGAAATGTTCATTTCCCATACATTTACACTTTTATCAACTAAGATATTACCAAACAGTATAGGGTCTTTCAAGTTTCTAATTTTTACATTTTTCCCCCATAGCCTGGGATTTTTTTCTACTTTACAAGGAAAATTCAATAAATAGAGCATCCAAGAGTAAATCTGGGAGAGAGAGGCATATAGAAAACAAATTCCAACATGACAGAAGTAAGTCTCTCCTTATTAGTAATTATTTTAAATGTAAATGGGTTAAATGATCCAATCAAAAGATGGAGATTGGCAAAATGGATAAAAATACATGGTCCAACTATATGCTGTCTACAAGAGACTCACTTTAAATCCAAAGACACAAATAGTCTGAAAGTAAAAGGATTGAAAAAAGATAATCCATGCAAATAAGTGACCAAAAGAGAGCAGCGGTGGCTATACTAATATCAGACAAAATAGACGAGCTCAAGACAGCATTCATGTGACATGATCTCCCTCTCTCCCTCTTTTTTTTTTTTAGCATTTCTTTTCTTTTGGGCATAACAAAATGCTCGAGGCTCATCTTAGATCTACCTTGCCCCAGCCCTGGAAGCAGACATTTCTCTTAGGAGCTCTGGTTCATTACAGTGGGGAATGGAGAGCAGAGGTCAAAATCTAGGCTCATGGTGTGCTCTAGTATATTTGCTTTTTGTGGACAAAGCAAGTGAATACACACACATACAAATATACACACATGCATATATATGCATGCTTATATATGGGCACATACACATGTATATACACATACACATAAATATTTGGGGAATCACAAGATCACACCAGTAACTCCAATTCCAATCTATCTCCACAGGTTCCCTCTTGCTTTTCCCCATTCCATATTTGTATGCCTTTTTCCTTAGTTAGAACTCTGGCCTCAAACAACAATGACAATTTCACTCATCTGCTCAATCCTCTATTACATCTAAAAAACTGTTTTAGAATTGCTTCACCTATACTACAACAAAAACAAACCTACTAAAAATAGTTAAGATTTCTTTGTAATTCTCCCCTTCCTGTAACCCCAGACTGAAGGAATAAAGAATATAGTTGGGCTTCCCTGGTGGCGCAGTGGTTGAGAGTCCGCCTGCCGGTGCAGGGAACACGGGCTCGTGCCCCGGTCCGGGAAGATCCCACATACCGCGGAGCGGCTGGGCCCGGGAGCCATGGCCGCTGGGCCTGCGCGTCCGGAGCCTGTGCTCCGCAGCGGCAGAGGCCAAAACAGTGAGAGGCCCGCGTACCGCAAAAAAAAAAAAAAAAAAAAAAAAAAAAAAAAAGAATATAGTTAAATACTGGGTCCATAAGTTACTCTTTTTCTTTTTCTCCCTTCAGTGAGCTTATAGTATTCATTTAAAATACAGTTGGGTTCATCTGTTTTAGTTTGCTTTCAGTTTTAGATCCCCCCCCTTCCCAACTTCACTGATATTCTTAAACATGCTTTTAAAAGTCACACTTATACAAAAAGGTATATTTTAGAGAGATGTCACTTCCTCCCATGTCCCTTCTGCCCCTCCCTCTATATTTTGCTCTCTTTCCATTCTTTGTATGTATTCAACATCATTGTTCTCCAGTTTATCATTCCTGTGGTTTCTTTTATGAAGATAAGCAGATATATGCATGTTTTCTTATTTTTCCTTCTTCCTTACACAAAAGGTAGCATTCCCTATATGTGATTTTGAACTTTCAAGCACACTTTTGACAATTTTATCTTCCTTCTTTCAGGGAGAGAATGTGCTAGTCTGCCACTGAGTACTCAGATCAGTGGCACCCAAGAGTGGCAACCATGGGGTTCATGGTTGACAATTTCTGCTCTCTGTAACTCTTAAGATAAATAGATTGACTTTTGCTATATGAAGATTTATTTTTATTAAATAACACAATAAGCAAAGTTCTACTAAGTAACAGAATAGATATTAAATAATTATTAAATAAGTTACCATGTATGTAATAAATAAGTATTAAGTAATAGAACAAGGGACCAGGTTCCTATTTCTGTAGCAATAGGAAATTTTCTATTGGTTAGCTCCATCCTGACTGATTGATCCATCCAGAGATACTCGGTTATTGGCATTTTACTTATGTTTAGTACTTTTTTACTGAGAGTGCAAGAAATCGCTATAATGCTGTATAAAGTAAAATAAAGTGCTTCAGCTCTGGAGTTGAACAGTCTCGAGTTAAAATCTTGACTCTTCCACTTACTTCTGCATGACTAGATGTTACCCAACTTTAAGCCTCAATTTCTCATTGGTGTATTAAGAAGAAGAAGAATTCCTACCTCACTGGCTTGATGTGAAAAGTTAAATGAGATAACTTTTATAATATGCTTATTATAAACCCAGCATGTAAGAGGCCCGTAATAAATGTTAACTAATATCATTGGCAATAATGGCAGTTACAGTGGCAAAACCTCAACAAGAACATCATTATTATTGCAATTATGTGTTATTATTATAATAACAAAGATGAATATTATTATGTTACCCAACCTTTAATTTTTTTCAACTGTTTTTAAATTTATTACAAAATTACTACATGGGTATTGGAGGGGAAAGCCAAAACATACAAAATCAAAGTGCCTCCTCCTTCCCTTATCGCCGCCACTGCCATCCCTTCTCCATGGTCAGTCACTGTTAACAATGTGTTCCACAGTCTTAAGCACACCCAAAGTGAGATGGCCCTAGAAAAACCTACACTGATATGCTACAGAAAGGAATCTACATCCTTTTTACTTCAAACACCTCAAAATATCACATGAAGTGATCAGTGTTCAAGTTGATGACAGGTTCGGAATGAGGAAATAAATTGAAGCTAATGTGCTTTGAAAGGATGATTTCTTTTATGTAGAGTCTAAAAAATATCTGAGAACTTTTTGCATCTCCCAGTTATGACAACTTTTAGATTAGTAACTGCTAACTCCACCTGGTGTCTTTTCCACCTCTTCAACCCACCTCTATCATCCTTAATTGTCCGTGCTAAGGAGTTAATTTGCATAACAATCGGATGCTCCCAAAGACTGTGAAGACTCAAGAATTATGGCTGCCTTCTGAGCTTAAAACAGGTAAATTCTATAACTGGCAGATGCCATCTAGGGAAGTAAAACAACACTGTCTACAAATGTCTTTGATAGTGGGAGTAGAGTTACCCAAAATTCCAACCAAGGGGACCTGGGAATAATATCTGGGAGACAGGAAAGGGAAAGGTAGGACTGGAATTTTAAAACTGAATAAACTCAAACCTAATCAATTATATTATAAGTAATTTGCCTAGAGAAAGACTATGGGAATCAAAAGAAGGCTGGTTAGCCCAAAATATAGAATATGAAGGCCAAGAGAACCAGAGGTTGGCAGACGTAAATACTATATAAGGGACAGGACTGTTTGACCTGTGGATTTGCATTACTGACTGTTTCTCAGACTCTGTACTCTGCCAAAGCAACCTTTTCATTACAATCTGACTTCTCAAGTGGTCTGACTGCAAGAATTGGACATGTCTGAAGAGTGATGTTTGTATTCCAGTTGGCCCAGTAGTTCTATATTTTATCAGATTAATAAAGTAGCATTCTGGCTCATATATTAGTCTTTTATAACAATGGCAACATAAACCAGTTTTCTTGGCTCTAATCAACCCTGGGTACCTGACAGAATGAGGTTTCTATTTCACAAGACTGAACGCCAGACCCGAATTATGATAACCAAAGAGGTAAGGCCATCCTTGTGAGAACACACAGAGCACAACCACTGGCCCTTCCTGACAACACCTCATTGGCTGTGCACTTCCATTACACTTACAGCATCTCCTTCTGGGGATTAAATGCCTCAAACCCATCTTACTTATCATCTGTCTCCTCTGACAGTGGGATTTTTATCTATTTTGTTCATTACTAAGTCTTCAGTGCCCAGAACAATGTCTGGCATACAGGGGACCCTTATAAATATGTGTTGAATGAATGAATAAAAAAAAAAGGGAAACCATTAAGCCTAAGCGTCTTGGCAAGTGAAATTAAATTTAAACTTGTCAAGCCAAGAGACTGATGACAAACTGTCCACACAGACATGTTCAAAGAACACACTGAATAACTAGACTAGACAGTACTTTCTTGGAGCAAATCACCTGCACAGTGCTTTACAGTTTACAAGTACATTCTCACATAACCCCTCATGTGATCCTCTCCTTATTCTAGAAACATTCTTTCTCTCAAGGAGACAAGAGCCCTTCACTTCAGTGTCCACCCTAAGCAATGCCTCAACCCCTCCCCTCTTCCTTCAACACTGAGGTATATGTTCCTGTGTCATGGAGGACTCTAAATACCCAGATCCTGAGGAAGTTCTGAAACTCTTCTCAATCCCAAGCACACTAAAGACATAGTATGGCAAACCTTAGTAAAATTCCTGTGACTGTAATAGTAGTTGTGGAAGGAAAACAATACTAACATTTATAAAATACATGTTGTTATTTTATGAGTGCCAGGTCCTGTGCTAAGCATTTTACACATATGACTCCTCATGATAAGTCAATGCTATAGATAATATTATTCCCTCTAATTTGATGGGTGGGAAAATTATAACACAAAGTTTAAGTGACTTGCAGTTATACTTCAGGACAGTATTCCCAAGTACTATGATATACCTTGAATCAACATTACAGTTTTTTGTCCTTAAGGAAAAAAAAAAAGCTCCAAACAAAAAAGATACCAAAATTCCACAGAATGCAATGATTAGGAAAAGGGTAGACGTTTTAAAATCTACATATATTTCCTAAGCACTATCATAAGAGCGTGTAGCACTATTCAAAAAAGCTTAGGACACAGAAGCATATGATACACTCTGTGTCTTTGGGGAGTTTATTGTATAACACTTTATAGTTTAAAAAGATATGTTGTCCCACACAGTATCTTGCTTGAGCCTCACCAATAAGCCCATAAGGACCTATTTCATAAGAGATGAAGAAAGTGAGTCTCTGAGGAGTTACGTGACATGGACAAGTTCACAAAGATAGCAGAAGGCAACGCTACAATTCAAATATATATCTTTTAATTCTTTTTTTTTAAAGTCTTTACTGAATTTGTTATAATATTGCTTCTGTTTTATGTTTTGGTTTTTTGGCCACAAGGCATGTGGGATCTTAGCTCCCCGACCAGGGATCCAACCCGCTCCCCTTGCACTGGAAGGCAAAGTCTTAACCACTGGAACACCACGGAAGTCCCTATATCTTCTAATTCTAAATCAAGCCAGGTAGGAGAGGAGTAGAGGCCAAAGGGCTAGAAGGCAGAAAAGGAAATGGTAGTAGGAAAGAAAAAAAAGTGGAGATCAGAAAAGTAAGAGGAGAAACAGGATCATATACAGCATGGAAGCCAAAGGAAGACAGTACTTGACGCTTCTTCCCACAGGTCAAGAACAATGAAAACCAAGGCAAGGCTACCTGAGAAAGGACATTTTTAGCAAAGCATAACTCTATATCATTATATTCAAGCAGAGATTGCTCAAATTATTTGCTATAAATGAGTAATTACTTTCAAAGTGCTAACAACAGATTTCTCAATTTCTCAGCAGAACTTGAACAGTGTATCTCAATTATGAAGGAGGAAAATGAGCATGATTCTGAAGAACTGTGCCTAATAATAACAAGCACCCTATACATGTTGGCTATGTGCTAGGCTCTGAGCTAAAAACTTTATCTCACTTAATTCTTACTGCAATCCTAAGAATGAAATCAGGGGTGGATCAAGATTTTATGGGTCCTGAAGCTTATAAATTGGGGACTCTCTCTTTAAAAAAAAGCACAAAAAGATCTTTTACCTCTATAAAATCTACAAAACAAGAAGACCATGAGAGCACATTGCTAGGGCTCTTCCTAGAACCTTGAAAGGTACCATTGCAAATGAAATGCCATGAAGTTTAAGCTTTATTACTTTCATGATTTGTCCTTCTCTAGGTTAGATTTTTTTTTTATGCACAGGAAGCATTTATTTATTTTTTGAAATTTTAAAAAATTGAAGTATAGTTGATTTACAATGTTGCTTTAATTTCTAGGTTTGATATTAAAAATCCATTTCTCTGAAAACTGAGGTACAGAGAGGTTACGTGACTTTTCCAGAGCCATAACTATTACTCAAACTCATCCTGCCTGATTCTAGTGCTTGTTCTTTTACCTATCAGGCTATATTGCTCCCGTGAAGGCCTGCTCTAGTTTATAAAACTTCATGAAACATCTGCTGTATGTGAACACAGAGGGGATAGGGTGTCTCTACAGTGCATTAGGGCTAATGATTATCAGCATTTTGAAGGCTGGGTAGGCAGCTTCAAGACCTGCCAGGTCTAAATAATCCTTATCCTGTAGTGATCTCGGCCTACAGGAAGTATTTGGTTGCGGGCGGGGGGAATCCTCATGTCTTGGGGCTTATAACACTGGTAGGATATGAAAATCCCAAAGTCAGATCAGATCCCATCAATCCCCTGGTTCAAGGCAGGGGGGATTCTAGTTTGGGATAAAATCTTTAGTGTGTCCTGATAAGCCCTGTATTATCTGGCCCTTACCCATTTCTTCAACTTTATCTTACTCTACTTTTCCTTTTCTTCCTATTTTTCCAGTCAAATGAGCCTTATTCTCACACCTGAACAAGCCAGGCTTGAACATGTCAGGGCCTTTCTACTTGTTCTGTCAGCGGAACATGCTTCTCTCAGATCTTCTCATTTCTGACTTCTTCAGGTCCCAGTTCAAAACAACCTCTTTAGAAGAAAGGTTAATCCAGACCCTATCCACAGAAGAATGCCCCACATTCCCCAATATACACACTTTAGTATCTTTAATTTTTTTCTCATAAACTTTATCATCATATTAAAAGTTTTATGTATTTTATTTATTATCTATCTGTACTAAAGAATAAAAGTTCCATAAAATCTGAAATCAGCTATATTCCCAGTTTCTAGAAGAGTGGCACACAGTAACTGCTCAACAAATATTTGCTAGAAGAATAAATAAATGGCCTGTCCCCATCTCAATTCTGAAGAATGAATCAAGAATACTCAGTTGGGACTACTCTGCCTGAGGCTACTAATAGCAATTTCCAAGTGCTATTCTTCTCAATGGCTCCTCTATTTTACCTTGAGGAAAAATGTTCCAATGTTTCCGCTAGCAGAAAACTTAAACCAACTCAGGAGCAGAATAACCAAGGTCCTCAAAAGTCTATCCTACTAATCTAGTTGTTAACAATTACAAGGTTCAATTTGTACATCACACTAAAAGGGTATGTTAGTATCTGAAATTTTGACAGAATAGTAAAGGTGAGTAATGCATAACTTTATCATTGTCTAAAATATGCAACATTGTGATTTATAGGCTCATATATTCAGAATTTAGAAAACATGAGTTTAAATTATATAAGCAAGCACTTATTATATGGTTAAACATTCAAAAGAAAAACATACCTCCTAAAGCCCCAGTATGATTTAGACTTTTCTTTTTAAAGCCATTAGAGACGATCAAAACAGGAACAAAAACAGAAAACAGCCAACGCCAAGGAGAAATAGGCTGTAAGTTACCTGAAAAATTATAAAGGTAGAGCATAAATTGTATGAAGCCTGCACAGGTTAGCCTCTCACTGTTGTGGCCTCTCCCGTTGTGGAGCACAGGCTCCGGACGCGCAGGCCCAGCGGCCATGGCTCACAGGCCCAGCCGCTCCGCGGCATGTGGGATCTTCCCGGACCGGGGCACGAACCCGCATCCCCTGCATCGGCAGGTGGACTCTCAACCACTACACCACCAGGGAAGCCCAGCTGCAAGTTTTGATAACTGCATTCTGGATTAAAATACTGTGGTAAGTAGAGAAACTGAGATAAAGCCACCAAAGTGAAATATTCATGTTGAGAACTATATATTTTCAGAGAGACAGTCCTAGTGCGGAATGACCAAATAAGTCCTGTCCAAGTTTAGAGAACCATTTACAACTATTTATAATAATGGGTATTTGATAGATACTTGGAGATCTGAAATGAAGCTCTGGTTCTTTATTTTTTTGGAAAGGAGGCATGTATTCATTCTCAAGAACTGTATAGAACAAATACCTTTCTTAACAGGATCCAATTATTCCTCTCTCTACCTTTCACAGAGATTTTTTTTAAAAAGGTAACACTCCCACAGGCTACACACCTCAGGACTCAAAGGTTAGCAACTGATTTTTCCAAAGGTTGCATCCAGCTCACAGATGTTTTGTTTAGCTAGCATAAGTTTTTTCAATTTGAATCAATATTTAAAGATTAGGAAATTTCATATAAAAATCCAGATTCTTGTTTTCTGTTTTAGAAACTGGAAGTTCAGGCCCACATGACAGAACTGACTACAGGTAGAGAAGCCACCTCCTTTAGACAGGTCATGGCTTTCCCATTTAAAGTCCCCGCCATTCCTGACAGACTCTTAAACACCAAGGCTGAGTGATTATAGTAAAGAAAAGTGTGAACTATTGCTTGTGCCCAGGTTTCTATCAAAAATTGGAAAATGCAAGACAAAGAGGGTGAAATGTTAAAAAAAAATTGGGAAAATCCTATTTCTAGAAGTGTAAACTGTTCCCATGTGTTTAATATGCAAAGTAAAGCCTTGGGCAGCTTCACTTATCTGCATCAGGTGCCTGGCCCCAAGGGGTCACTTCAATTTACAAATTCTGATTTATTCTATGTAGTTCAAGTCATAGTTAATACTGGCATTAAGGAGAACCTTCTCACATACCTCTCCTCCCCGAGCCCTCATCCCCTACTGGGAATCATGAATGAACAGCCTTGAAAGCACGTGTACCCTGGAGAACACGCACTCGATTATTCACATGTTTCTTTTTAGGCTAAGGTCTAAAAAGGTAATCATTTATGATAAAACCATTTATAAGAGTTTACTTTCTCACTCTGTTTTTCACTTTTTCTTTGAACTGAACGGTATTCTGTTTTTATAAAGGGGTACCAAGGAAGTTTGTACAAAGGCATACTTATGCTCTAAGGCAGTTTCAAAATCTTAAAGATTTGAGGGCTTCTCGGGTGGTGCAGTGGTTGAGAGTCTGCCTGCCGATGCAGGGGACATGGGTTCGTGCCCCGGTTCCAGGAAGATCTCACATGCCGCGGAGCAGCTGGGCCCGTGAGCCATGGCCGCTGAGCCGGCGCGTCCGGAGCCTGTGCTCCGCAATGGGAGGGGCCACAACAGTGAGAGGCCCGCGTACCGCAAAAAAGATTTGAGTTCAGAGTACCTCATATTTATGCAAATTAGCTTCAGCCTTTAAAACAAGCCTGTTCTTTTGCAGTGACCAAACAGCAGACAAATCTTCCAAATCTCCAAATGTAAACATTGTATCATCATTTATTTTTACTTTTTTTTTTACAGGACACATGAAACTGATAAACTATCTTATTAATATTCTTATTAAAAGCATCACTGCAATTGCTTTGCAAAATTATGTTTAACCTCACTTATTTTTCACCAAGCTAGATGTAATAATTACATGAAATAAAAGATATTTTGGAACCGGTATAACTAGTATGACAAGCAGCATTTACTAAAAGCTTTAAAACGTTCAAGGCACTGCATATTCGCATGTTAGTAAATGCAAATCAGGCCGTGAAAATTAAGTAAACACAACAGTTTATAACCATTCAGAGGATATGAGTTTTGGCTTTCACAATGGTACTTTCTAAATTTCACCGATTAGGTTATAGAAAGACAATTTAGAACATTCATACTCACCATAATAGGTGCTTGCAGTCATAGACATAATCCAGAAAGCTAAAGAAATGCAAATGATCAGACTCAATATAACTATATTAGTTATCATCTCTATGTATTTTTTGTATGTATTGTGGTCAAGATCTGTCATGAAAAATAACAGTATGAACACCTGGAGGGGAAAATATCTCGCGTTTCTGAGAAAAATAGTCATTTAAGTTGCCAGCAAAACATTCGTGTAGAGGCGAACATAAATGCCAACATCTTCCACCGTCCGAGAAAATAATATAAACCCAAACTATTTCCGGAAACTGCGCTGCCGCAGAAGCCTGAGCGAGATTAACGCCTCCCTGGGAGAGCAAACCGCAACCTCTCAGACAGCGGCGGGTTCGCAGACCGCTGTCCCTTCACACCTGAACTTCGCAGCCGGGAAGGTGAAAGGGAAGCGGAGGCAGCCAATCAGCGGTCCAGGAGGGCGAGCTCCGCCCCCACCGCCCGCCCACGCGCCGACGCTGGGGGTTGGCAAATGCAGAGAGGCGAGGCGCGGGGCTGGAAGTTGGGGTGTCCTGGCGGCGAACACCGAGTGACGGAGTGCGGTCACTCTCGACGGCCGCCCGCGCAGCCCTAGAGGCCGGGTCCAGGCGGCCAGGGCCGAGGACCCTGGAGCTCAGCTCGTTCCTCGCCGCTTGTCAGCGTCCCGTGGCTAGCCTCCTGCGCGCCTGCGCCACGGCCACTCGTGGGCGTCGCCTCGCTTACGTGAGCGTTTAAAGGGCGGCTCCAAGGTCTAGAGGGCCAAGTGAGGACTGCCGTCGGCAGGACCCTGTACGTTTGTAATGCTCCTTAGAGTCTGACCCTTGGAACATAAAGGTCTTGTGTTTGAGGACATACCCGAACGCTGAAACGTGAAACCACCACCAAGGCAGTAACAGAATAGAGGAATGAAAGCAAGTGAACTTAGACCCAGTAGACCATGTCAAGCATCAGATTCGAATGCTTTTTCGTCTGTGAACAGTTCATGGCATACAATATTATGGACTTTTTAGAGGTGGGGGATATATTGGGCTGTGGAAAGGGAATTTTATGAATGAGAAGATCACTTAAAAACAGCACCTGTAAGGTGCTGGACACTGTTAGCCTCTGGAAATGTAAAGAGCTCGACATAGTTCCTATTGAATTCTCAAGTAATTATTATGTGGAACATTGTGGGAATTGTTCCCGCACCTCTCCTATTTAAAGTCTGTGCATTCAGTCAATTCACTTAGAAAGCAGAACGGCTTGTCACCTTAAACAAACGAATCTTGTGGCTGATTTCACGTTTTAATTAATTTTTGTTTGCTGGGTTAACAGTAACTAATTGATAATTACATTATATTCTGAACTTTTTCAGTTAATTGCTGACAGTGTAAAAAGAGGAAGCAACTCACTTTCAGACATAGTACCCAAATGTGTTTTAACCCGCTAAAAGTAATTACTTTTCGAAAACTCACCCTGTATTATATGCCAAGACTATTTGAAGCCCTTTCCTTTGGTAAGGCATACGATTAATTACCTGAGAACCAAATTTGTGAAGTAGGACTAAATAGTAGTGGACTTCTCTTACTATATGCATATGTAGTCTTTATGCAGAAATTATGTGCCCACTTAAGTTTTGTCTGGTTTTGTTCAGCACAGGTAAGTAACTGGATTACCTTAGAAAGCTGACTGGCCAATATTAGTGATACTAGACAATTAGGCATAGTTATTATTAATAAAACCTAATATTTTTGTGGTTTGCATAGTGACCTTGTTTTTATCTTTGCTTAGACAAAATTATGAACTGGTATTGCTTTTTTTCCCCCCTTCACTTTAGTACAGTTACAGGGTTATCTTGCCTGATTTTGGTGTTCTATGAGATTTTTATGTCTAATAGGAAACCATGGCCTGTGCAGGCCATCTTCTAACAACAATGAAGGCTGGCTTTGTCTGGCTAGTTCCTGAATGTCACAGATGGTTTTCTCTCTCATGAATATGTAGCCAAAATTGCATATTAAATAATAACAGTGTTGGTGACTGACTCTTCAAATGAATATTTCTCTTCCATTTTTTCCCGGTGTCCAATTATTGCTGTTGTTCTTCATAAAATAAGTTATTTGAGCTTAAGGCTGGAACAATTTGGGGGAATTAATGTAGTTAAAATATTGTTTAAAAAGAAACAATGATTTTACAATCCGATAATGTTTAGAGACTTAATCTGAAAACATTTCAACAAAGTCTTTTTCTATTTGCTTTAAAAGCCACTTTCTAGCAACCAAGAATTTTATGGTTAAGCATTTTCTAAACTATATTCCTCAAGATATTAGTAGGTACGCTACCCTCCACCACCACCTCCCCTCCAAAATACCTCTGATCAAATTTAAGGTTCAGAAATTTTGTTTCCTCATAGGACTGTGAGAGTGCACTAAAGGCTCTGAGAAGTTGAGAAACTTTGAACACTTTTGTTAAATCTTTCCAACAGAGTTAATTGTTTTACCACAGATTACTTTCCCTCAGAAAACATTACAGTTTGAAAATTGTTATTGTAATCAGAGCAACAGACTGAAAGTTCATTGTTGGAGTAATAATCTTTAAATTTCACAATATAAATACCTATTTATGTTTAAGTGTTCTTTGACATAAACATTTTCTGGGATAGACATTTGATACATAATATCAATTGTACAAATCATCCCAATGGCAAAAAGCACTTACTGATGCTAGGAAAATATCAGTGGGTTCTATGTACAGTCACTTCGAATCTAAGTCAAAGGAGTGATTTAGATTTTGTGAAATCTAAAGAGAAATGTGCTAATATTAGAATGGCTGATATATACATGCCAGACCCCTGAGTCCCAAAAAGAAAAAAACATACACACAAACACACACTGCCTTGAAGGAACACAGAAAATGAAGACAGATGTGTAGATGATAACATTATAATGAGATGATGACTTTATCCAAGTTATGTATAAAACAGGACTCAAGGAGAGAAGCACTTATGTCACTTTGGTACATTAAGAAAAAGTGTCACAGAGAGAGAGGGAGCATCAGAGCTAATACTTAAAAGATGACAGGGAGATTGCTAAATGACCAAGCTAAATAAAGTAAGGGCAATATGTAAAGATGTGGTGGTTAAGAGAGTGAAAATAGACATTCATGAGAATGGAGGATTTAGACATAAAAAGGTCTGAAATACTAGCTAAATAATTAAACTGAAAATTCATCTGAGAGATAGGCACGTATCTGCTTTCTTGGCATTGAACCCAAAGTTTTTATTTTTTAAAGCTTTTGGAGCACAGATTTTAAAAGCCTAGGCAGCAATTTGAAGACTGGTATGTTGTTTTAGATTCAACTTATTCTGCAAGGGCATTAGGAAGACAGTAGGGGGCAGTGAGGGCAGGAATAAACAAATGGAATTTTTTTTTCCCCCATAGACTTGAGGGCAGGAACCATTTCCATCTGGTTCATTCTAGTTTGCTCAGTGTCTCTTAGTGAATGTTAAAAGTGTTTTTTAAATTAAAGTACTAAATAATATTTTAATACTTAGAAAAAATTAATAAGAAAAAATCATATCTTATTTCCTTGCTATTAAAATAATGCTTTGGTAAGCATATCTACAAATAAATCTCTGTGTGAGCCTCAAATTATTGTCAGGGTAGACAGAACATTTTTATAGCCCTTCATATATCTGGTGTAGATTGTATAACCAGTATTTAAAACAGTGCAAATAAACTATAATGTATGTTTAGATTTAATTTGAGCCATAAAATGAAAATGATAATTCCTCTTCTAGGCTTTACATATCTTTATTTTGCTTACAGTTTGCTTCAATTTAAGGAGGCAGACTTCTACAGAAGTATTTTAGGGGAACAATTTAGGGGATGGATTTCCACAGAAATGTTCATGTACATATTTTAGAAATAATAGGCATGACAGTAATCTCCTTGTTTTTAATATCCAAGTTTTTAATATCAACATACTCAGAATACATTTTTTGTGAAAACAATGTGCAATTGTTTAATATACATTATAAAATCATTAACTTTATGAAGTTTCCAACTGTCTAAATACTAAAAGAATCCCATATTCTGACATAAAGAGGAACCACTTTCTATATTATACCAAAATTAAAATGTACCCGTATTCTAACATTGAGAAATGAGATTAGAAAAACCCAACATCATAAAGTCTACCTAGAAGAGATCAACAATGACTTCACAGACTGTCTTTACTGTATATATACACACAATATTTTTTATTTTAGTTTTTTGAGACACATAACCTGTCCTATTTTAATGATTCATATATTTAACAGAAGGTTATAATGTAGAGGTCAGAGAAGAGGATTTGGAGGCTGAAGGCCAGTGTCCAATCTAGAACTTCCTAGATTACTGCATTTCTATCCCTTGTGCCAGCTGACACATTATAAATGTCTGAATGAACAAATAAATTACACTAACAAGGATTTCTTCATCTATAAATTGAGATAATACCACCTACCACACAGAATATATGTGAAGAACAAGTAAGAGAACTAATTGGTGCCATAGTGCTTTGTTCACTTTAAGACTCTGAGTTAAAATTATTTTTAAAAATTCATGATAGTAGGGTTTGTTGTTTAGTAAAAATATCAAATGTCAAACTCCAGTCTTGGCTTTGATATAATATTTTATTTACTTATGTTTTCCTTTTAACAAGGTATCATTAACAACAAATTTGTTCAGTGTTCATTTTAACGGGAAAAAAAAGTCTTACAATTCATTAAATAAACACTGCATGTGATTCAGGTCAACACCCATGTCCTTCTACAAAATCTCCTTTGGTAAGTCATTATAAGAAGAAAATCTGTTTGTTTCAAAAGAAAACTGGTTCATTGTAAAAAGGTCTAAAGTTTACACGTTCTCGTTAAATTCCAATTCAAAGCGCTTCACACATACTTCTTTCAGAGCATTTATCATATTGTATTATGAATAATATTTGTTTCTCGCAAGAGACTTTGAGTAACTTAAGGGCAGAAAATCATGTCATGTTCATCTTTATATCAAATACTAGCCTTTGGCTGGTCCTTTGTAGGGGTTAGTGCCTGGTAGACATAGAATGAATGACAGGCATAAAACAGAGGATATGTGTTGTGTCAAAGCAGAGGACAAAGAACTGTTATAATTTTGATTAGTTTTATGGTCTACGAGCTAAGTGATGTTTATTAACAGGCTGAAAACAGGATTTTTAAAAGATTCCTTTTATGTTTTTCTCTATGAATGAAAGTAGTTTTAAGGTAGACAGATGTATGTTAAAATAATTTGATGCAGGGAGAGTTTGGAGCATGTTATTGGAACAGTAACATGAAAATGACATGGAAAAACCAGCAAAAATTTTTACTTTAGAATTACTGAGTGGTAGTTTATTCAGTGCTCTCAAATATTAATAAATGAAGTCTAGGTAACTTTGCCAAAAGCTTGTTGTATTTTATAATGCTTTATTTTTGTGATTTAAAAAATGTTATATTAAGATATCAGAGTATTATTGTAGATGGGAATCAGCCTGCATTAGTGTTTTGTTTTGTATTGGGGAGGGGCAGTGAACCACATGAGAGTTTATACTTGGGAAACATAGTTTATGTTTAAATGATTATTTGCCCAACTTATTTTGAGGTATAAAATAGAAATGGTCAGTAAGTGTTTGCTGATGTGTATGTTTGAAACCATATAAAGATAGTTGAAAACATGTAATGACAATTCCAAGGAGCTACATCCAATATTAAAGATAACATGACTTAAAAAAAAAAAAAAAAAACATGACTAACAAGGTTTACATTATACACAAAAGAATTTTCATAAATATTTATTTTAAGTGCCTGATGATAACTAAAAGAGACGTTTCCTACCTTTGCCTTTGTGCATCTAGTTGCTTGGGAGGCATTCCTTATTAAAAGAAAGGGTGCTAATAATATAAAAAGACTTTTTGCTAGCATCTCAGCAAATGTTATAAAAAACACCAAGTAGCCATTACCTTATGGGAAGGATTTACAGTAATATGTGATTATGTATATGCTACTTTCATATGGCGGTGTCAGAAGCTCAAAACAGGCCTGGGTAACCTGATTGTACATTAATAAATTTTTACATGATTTGACCAAAGCTGTTTGAAGGAAAGTGTTCTTATTAAATATTTATCTGGTAAAATAAGGCAAACCCTTTAATTGTTCAAATGGAAACTATAAGAATAGTTCTGATATTCTATTTTGTAAAATAATTAGCACTTGCATAGCTTTATCAGAGACACATGTACTTTTAAAAAGATCTACATTCTATTTCTGTTATGCAGTATGGTTGCTCTATTTGACTCTCACTAAAAGAGGAGACAAAAATCAAGCTGATGTGTAAGATAAATTGACTTCATTTTAGGTTATAAGTTGTAAAGATATAATATGGTAAGTACTTTTCTATAATTCAATTCTATTGTGGGTTTATGGAAAAAAAAGAAAGCTTAAGAATTTTGGTATCAACACACATGGGGACAGAGGGAGTATTCCTAACATGGAACTGTGTAGCATGTTTGCCTATTAACATATCAGTTTTGAAATAGAATATGTAATATTTTTATTATGAGAATAAATGTGGTATACATTTACCTTTTTGTTTAAAGTAAAAGCTAGATCTCAAAGTCTGTTATTTCATAACATACTTTCTTAGAAGGTGATATAATCAGCTACCTGTTTTTAGTACTCTGAGTTACTTGGATGATGCAAAGGTACTTCACATTTGAAAATACTATTTTCAAAATATTTACAAGCTATTGCAAAAGCTAATTTTGTTATGAGGGAGGCCATGATTAGCTCAGTTTTACTGATAAAAAGATATGAAAAGTTTAAATAAAAGAACTTGCCCTGTACTTCAGGTTTTTTCCTAAAATCTTTCCCAATCACAGTGGCAAAAAGAATAATTTAATTAATACAAAATCCAGCAGTTTTAAAGTTTTATTTCATGTTGGTTAACTCCTACTAGGCAAATTACTTAGAATGTAATATCCCAACTTTGGTACAGGAAAAAAATTTTTTATAATATAATTTAAAAACATTACTTGTCATAGACTGTTCTTTAAAAGAAGTTTAAAAAGACAAAAACACAAAACACTTTACAAACATACAATTTCCTAGAAAAAATTTTAAGTACATGATTCTCACATAAGGCACTTCCATTCTCATTCAAATAAGTTTCATAAGAAGTTCTCCATTTTTTTTTGTAACCAAGTCTTCATAAATAAATTATGCAGTAACATTGTTACTTCAGGTAAAACTTTATTAAATACCCAATTTTGGAATAATTTCCTTAAATATCTTTACTTTTGAACAGAATGAAGTTCAAGCATCAAATCCTAATTGAAGGTACTTTTAGTCTGTTTTGGAGTTAGAGAATTGGTAACATTTTACCTTGTTGATCTTGTTCAAGAATCTTGAAATCTTCCAAAGGAAGACTATTTAAGGCAGTTGGTAAAATGTGTTCTGATGTGCCCTTAAGTAATATATTATTTGCTTCTAGATTCTTCACCAAGCACGTGGCTTTGATCCATCTTCGAGTTGCTCTGCGTTCCTTCTGTAGGCAAGTTTTCATTTTCCTTCTTAAACTTGCTATTTCCTTTTCCAGTTTAATTATCCTCTTTTTTGCTTCCATAGGGTTCCTAAAGGCATAACTGTGTTCAAGTAGTACTTGCTGACTACTAATGTTTGATTTTAAATTAGATGGTCCGTTTGGAGTACAACTGTTGTTTTTCTTCAGAAGATTCCTTGACTTGACTTTCTGAGCAGAATAAAATCAGAGGGTTGAACATAAATTATGGAATATCACAAATAAGTAAATTTTGTTTTGGATAACAGTATTTAAACTGCTCTTTTAAAAACTGATTTTAGGGGTTCCCTGGTGGCACAGTGGTTGAGAGTCCGCCTGCTGATGTAGGGGACACGGGTTCGTGCTCCGGTCCGGGAAGATCCCACATGCCGCGGAGCGGCTGGGCCCGTGAGTCATGGCCGCTGAGCCTGCGCGTCCGGAGCCTGTGCTCCACAATGGGAGAGGCCACAACAGTGAGAGGCCAGCGTACCGCATAAAAATAAAAAATAAAAACTGATTTTAAAAATTTGATAGGAAACATCAGCAGCCTATCTCATGTAGTCATGGATTCAAGTTTCTCAACTGGCTGAATTAACTTCAGCCACCTATTTCTTTTTGTCTTTTCTCTCCAGAGAGATAAAAGCACTGGTCTGGAAATAGAGAATGGACTTCCTAGGTCTCTTCCAAATTATTGAATATGATTCTGTAGAGACTTAAAAAAATTCTTTGCAACATTCTAAGGCCAATATAGAATGCATTTAGACATCTGGTTTATTTGTGATACTGATTTGATCTCTTTTTTAGGTAAATACTATCCTCTCAATTTGATTAATATTTCAGACCTGTGGTCCTACTTAATACAAACATATTCCAAAGTATCAAGCTCCTGAAAAGATTTACCTATTAATTATACACAGTTATATCTTATTGATACATTCAAGGTTTTAAAATCTGGCTAGAAACTTTCTTTCCAAATCAGAAACCTGAGGACCCTTTTTTCCCTTTATCTCTTTCATTCAATTAGTCATCAAGTCCTATTAATTCTATCTCCTAAATATCTGTATCACAAATCCTCTCCTCTTCATCATTCTTTTTTTTTCACTCTCTTCATTTCTTTTTTTTTTTTTAAGTTTTCATTTTTATTTATTTATTTTGCAACACTGTGCAGCATGTGGGATCTTCCCCGACCTGGGATCGAATCCACACCCCCTGCAGTGGAATCGCGGTGTCTTAACCACTGAACCACCAGGGAAGTCCCTCCTCTCCATCATTCTTAATGCTACTACCCATATCAAGCCCATATCATTCATGTCTGGCTTGAATATATTAAAAACTTCTTTATTGATCTCTGGCTCATTTTGATCCTCACTAGTCTATTTTCTGCCACACAATAATTTTCTAACAGATTTGATGATTTAATACTGGCTAAATTCTTCTTTGCCTCCCTATTATTTAAAGAAAAAAATATCTTTTTTATATGCCAAAATATCTACATGGCATACTGTACCATTTAGGATCTCACCCCATTCTGCCATTCAGCATCTTTTTAAAAATTAATTAATTAATTTTTGGCTGAGTTGGGTCTTCATTGCTGTGTATGGGCTTTCTCTAGTTACGGCGAGCAGGGGCTACTCTTTGTTGCGGTGCTCGGGCTTCTCACTGCAGTGGCTTCTCTTGTTGCAGAGCACGGGCTCTAGGCGTGCAGGCTTCAGTAATTGTGGTGCGTGGGCTCTAGAGCGCAGGCTCGGTAGTTGTGGCACACAGGCTTAGTTGCTCCACAGCATGTGGGTTCTTCCCAGACCAGGGCTCGAACCCATGTCCCCTGCATTGGCAGGCAGGCGGATTCTTAACCGCTGCACCACCAGGGAAGTGCTGCCATTCACCATCTTAATTTTTACTCCAATAATATTAAACCACTTATAGTTCCCAGATTATTTGATTAATTTCATAGCTTTGTGTCTTTCATTCAACAAACATTTATTGAAACACAGCAATTTATGAATTCCTGGGGACACAACAGTGAACAAGTAAGATAAATATGGTTCCTGTCTTCATGAAACCTACAACTGGCATTCCTTCTGTCTAGGGGAATTGGCAGGGACTCTTTTTTGATCTGTATGTTCCCAGCATCTAACTTGGATTTTGACATAATGTAAAGTTTAGTAAACATCTGTTGAATGAATAAATGATCAAAACGTCAAAAACAAGGTATACTTCAAATTCAATAAATATATGAGTCTGTACTATGTACCAGGCACTATTTCAGGTTCTGAGGATTCAGAAATGAAATGCTTGCCCTCCTGGAGCTTTTCTAATATCTGTGATAATTGGTTTACCACAATCTCCTCTCCCTTCTCTTCCATTCAGATAGTAACTCATGTAGATTTACAGATTTAACTGTCAAAAATAACTCAAGAAAAGCAGTGATTTTTCCTCTCTGAGAGGAAAAGATGTCTATCCTCCTTTTCAAAGCTAAACTCTTTATTTTGTTGACATTTCTTTGAGGATTCTTACATGAGGGAAAGGCACTTTTCAATTTCCACTCTGACAACCTCCCTTCTGAACCTTTCAGTGACCCTGTCTTTCTCAGCTAGCTTTTTCCCCTCTGATCAGATCTTCCCTAACTAGATAAAACATTGTTTTAAAACATTCATACTATACCTTAAATTTCTCCTTCCTTTTAAATATCACTTGCTAACACTTATTTTCCATTCACTCCTCAACTCATCTTTTGTTCTCATCATGCTATTGCAGCTGCGCTGTGCAAAGTCAAGAACCCTCTCCTACATTCCAAACTCCAAGCTCAAGCCCAGCCGAAATGCCTGAGCTCTATGAGGTTTTCTGTTATGCCTCCCTCTGAACTTATATTCTTTGGTGTAACTCTGGTATTCTTTGGGTGTGCTGCCCTGAAAGCACTTAACACACATTATTTGCATATCATCTTAAAATCAGAGCAGAGCAATGCTGGAGGTTTCATTACCATTTCTCAGTTTTACCAATGGGTCAGTTATTGATAATAATAAACAATGATGTAAAATTCCAATATAATAAAACAGTTTAGGTTGGGGAAAGAATATTGGAGTCAGGAGCGCTGAGCACTAATTCTAGCCTGCATCTTTACTTCAGTTTTGCAGTTTTATTGAGGCACAGCATTATATATGAATTTCAATATATTCTTCTTTTTTTTTTTTTTTTGGTACACAGGCCTCTCACTGTTGCGGCCTCTCCAGTTGCGGAGCACAGGCTCCGGATGCACAGGCTCAGCGGCCATGGCTCACGGGCCTAGCCGCTCCACGGCATGTGGGATCTTCCCGGACCGGGGCACCAACCCGTGTCCCTGCATCGGCCGGCAGCCTCTCAACCACTGTGCCACCAGGAAAGCCCTCAATATATTCTTAATTGTTCCATGTTACAAACAAAAAGGGATGGATTCTAAAAATGGTTAAAATGACGTAAAAGTAGTATTACTTACCATGGACTTTATGTGGGTACAAAAATCAAAAATGGTTGGAACAGCATCCATCTTAAGTCGCCTAGTTTGTCCTGTTAGGTCAAAACAGGAGGCTTCAAAGTGCTTTGAACAAAGAAAAGTATGTTTTCCTGGCACAAAATTTTTGCGCCTAACCAGGCGAACCCATTCTTTTCTTCTTTTAGGATCCAAAGGAAACCTTAAAAAAAAAAAAAAAAAAAAGGCAACTCAAATTCCAACTATGACAATAATTCTGGTTGTAATTAAATGGTTAAAAGAAATTTTGAAAGCTAACAATTTAAAATGTCTTCCATTTACATAAAAATTTTAAAATTTCCGGTATCCAGATACTGGAACAGAAACCAATTCATGCTCATTTTTATAAGTTGTAGAAAAGTTAATAAAAAACTAACTTAAGTGGTTTAATTTTTCAGGGTTTTAAAAAGAGACCTTTCTTCCCAAACTAGTCCTTAACAAGGGCAGTAAAATAAACAAGACTAAACTGATCTAGATCAAATTTATGTAGATCCATTATAAGCAGGAATAATTTCACAGTGCTTTGATCTGCTGCTCATGTACCTGGTCAAGACAAATCAGATCACCTACAGATTAAATTTTATCAAGACAAATTCTGGTATTCCTTCCTCTGTGTTCATTATGATACTTACTACATTGCTTTGTAATTTTCCATTTTAATAAATTTCTAGTGAAATCAAAGAAGACTATAAGTTTCTCGAGGACATGGATCATTTTATCTTTTTTTTTTTTTTTTTTTTT